CCCCAAAACCCCAAAACCCCAAAACCCCAAAACCCCTTAAAAAAAGTATTGTGTAAATTGAAGATAAACAATTAATATCATATAATATCACAGATAACTATTGAAATCAATCCTACACAAGCTCATGTGTGCTCATACTTACATTTACGAGATTTTTAGTCTCTTCGATTTTCTACTCGATTAAAGCTTTATTTTCTTCCAAGCCTTTAGTCCAGGTATCCTATTTGCATTGTGCTGGTAAGAAGTCAAGTAAAGTCAGATATAATGGCTCAACAATAACACTTATGTAACCCTTTTGATAAACAAAGGGATTGCAAGTTGTCCTGTCAAAATATGGGGTAACTGTATAGTTAAGTTTTTTCTCAATGTCTCCTTATTAATAATACTCTTCCATTTCAGCCGCCATCCATCTGAAGTATTAAATTGAGTTTTTGCAAGGATTTGCATGATCAGAAGCGTAGAGGACCATATTTAGTATTAACTATTTATCCTCATTAGTTTCTTCTGGGAATTTTTTAGTAGACAATCTGCCTCTAAATGCCACTGTAAAAGGAATTAACAAACTATCTAATTTTCTTACTTATTTAATCGAAATGATGAGAAATATCAGTAGCCAAAATCATTTTTATGATGATTTGTCTAACGTTCCAATATTAAGCCTCACTTAGAAGTTCAAAAATATCATTCTATGGATCGAGTAAAAGCTTGAAAGTCATTGCGCAATGATGATTTTCTAAGACTGATTTATCATTATATCTGATTGATTTAGGATGCTTAGTTGCTATCAAGTATGTATTGTTTACTCCACTAAAACTTTATTATATTAAGAAAGAATTACGGATGGCCAAGATCATGCATGAGACAGGACAAATACGCCGCCATTATGTTTAAATCAGATAAGTGATTCATTAGTTCTCCATGTTTGACAAAATAGTGGAAGTTTCTAGTTACCTCAATAGCTCTCAAAGTGTTATGATAGGTATTATTTTCGTAGAATGAATTCTTTATCTATGTTAGTAGATTGAAGAAATTATTATCCGCTATTGAAAACTTTTCCAGCAAGCCATAAATCTAAAAAAGCTTAAAACCGAAATGCAGGATTGTAGCTTCTCCTAGGTTTTCATGATACTTAAAGATATCAAAGTCCCATTTATCAAAGTCATCCATCATCTTCAAAGCATTATTCCACATCCTTGGCTGTACATTAAGAATTTACTTGATTCTTTCCTCTTCCTCTTCGAGTTTATTTGGATCTTATTCATCATTTTCCCTATGGATTTCTTTCAAAAAATCATCTAAGTCTCTTTCAAACCATTAAGTTGTGTCATTTGCTGCTTCTGTTGTGATATTAAGCCAGGCCTTTGCTTCAACATCCATATTTTTCTCTTCACTCGCCATATCAAAGTTAAGTTCATAAAGCTTATTAGATTCAATAATTTCTATTGCCCATTTGGCTTCTTTCTTTATTGATTGAGAAATTTCCCTGAGATCAATTATAGACTAAAGAATTTTCATTACAGATTCAACAGGGTTTATATTCTTTGATTAATGCCGTAACTTTGAGGTATTGCCAGTAATTTTTCTTATTGTTATTACAACAACTCTAATAAGTCTTAATACTCCAAGACCTTTTGCAATTATACCAATAATATTAAGAACTTCTGAAATTAAGACGATTGCAGCATCAAAGGCATTAAATACATCAACTAAGTACATGAAGTTGCTGGCAAAGCTTTTCAAAATAATTTCAGTGAAAAACATTGTTAAGAAAGCAGTATCAATTTTAGACAATATCTACTCATCAATACTGAATATATCAGCCATAGTCAGCCAAAACAAGATGAAAATAGTATAAAATGATATCAATACCATAGACAAAGTTTCAAAGCCTGTACTTTCTAGCATTTTAAGGCAGAATACTTTCAATTTTGGGATCCATACCTCTTATTTAGGAGTTTCAAGTAATGCTGGGGTTAAGTATTCACCTTCATTAGATTATAGAAAGCCGAATCTTCTCACTATTATTATATATAAAAGAGTCAAGATTCCAATAGATTTGCATTAGTCAAGAATTACTGCCAAAGCCATTGTTGGAAACATTAATTCTGGCCGGCCAGCCTAGAAAACCAAGTTAAATTCTTATTACTTACTGATATTGTTACTGAAATAAAAGCGATAGAAATGACAAGGATGGCTACAAAAAACAATATAATGAATACTTGAAATAGCAGAACTCTGCAGTTTTGCCATGTGTTATCAATGCTTTTTACTAAACAGCAATTAAAATGAAATATATAGATTTTTATCTTACTTCTAAGTTTCGCCAAAATTATGCATAGAAACTCAAAAATAAACTAAATTGGAGTTACCACTATTGCAGCTAAAATTGCAATGCCTGGAGCTAGAGAAAAAATACCATCTGCTATATCCACTTCTGATTACAACTTAGTTTTTTCACATTAATCACTTGGAAATAGGCAAATGATTTAATCTCTTTGGTTAATGGGAAGGTCAGTACAATATTGTCTAGTCTCTCCAATAATAGCATCATCATCACCATTTATGCAGTATGAAAAGCATGTATGAAGTTTGGCTTATCGCTTTAAGAAGGGAATGAATGGATAAAATGCGTTATTTGATATATATGCTTTGCAACTGTTGTATTAATCTAATCCTGCTTAGCCTTTAGTTATGTTTGGTCTTTTATACATGTAAAAGCTATCAAATCTGATACCATTATACTTAAAACGAATATTTTCAACCTATGTACATTCTAACTCTGGAAAATAGCCCATATTACAGCCAGTATAACAATCTACTCTGTTAATTTTAAGTCAAACATTAAAAATACCTTTTATTGCACTCATTCGAGTAATAATCATCTTAAGGGTCAATTAGAGTATAAACGAAGATGTAAATGAGAAGAACATATATGCCGAATCTGAAACATCTCAGCAAGAAATTGACTCTCTCTTCTAATGGTTCTTGTTCCTCTTCATACCATAATTTGAGCAAATCATGATTCTGTTTAAGGAAAGTCTTGTAAGTTGGCACTTGTAAGCGAGTGTCTTTTCTGAGAAATTTGTATGCCCACATTATTTAAATTTAATTATTTTCTTTCAAATTTAATTCAAAATTTTTTCAAAATTAATACTGATGGGGTTTTGGGGTTTTGGGGTTTTGGGG